GCCTAAGGTGTAGGTCTCGCTCTGCTGCCGCCGCCCTGCGCCGCCCTGCCGCCGCCCCTCCCACCCGCGGAAGAGAGCTGGCAGCTCCTCCGGTTCTCGGAGAGGCGAGGGCCCCCCTCTGGAGCGCCCCAGAGGAGGGCCAGCGGCGTGGCCTCCTCCTCCTCCTCCTCCTCCTCCTCCTCCTCCTACTCCTCCTCCTCCCCCTCCTCCTCCTCCTCCTCCTCCTCCTTCGCCTCCACTTCCTCCTCCTCGTCGTCCTCCTCCTCCTCCTCCTCCACCTTCACTTCTTCCTCCTCCTCCTCCTCGCTCTCCTTCTCCTCCTCGTCCTCCTCCACCTCCTCCTCCTCCTCCTCCTCCTCGATGGCCCTCGCCTCTCCGAGGGCGGGGGCCCTCTCTCGGGAGCGCCCCCCCCCCCCCCCCCCCCCCCCCACAGGGCCCGCAGCCTCTGCGTCGGCGGCTGGGCAGAGCAGCCGCGCTGGCGGAGAGCCAGAACTCCACGGCGGCACCGCTGCAGCGAGCTGTGCCGCAGTTCGGGTCGGGCAAAAGGGGGGGATAGCAAAGGGGGGGTTTGAGAATCAGCTCACGTAGCTGATTTTTCCGGCGCCTCCCGGCGCCGAAGGCGGCTATGTATCGAGGAATGGGCCCCTCGGTGAGGCCGAAACCAGCTGCATGCAGCAAATTTCGTAACCCCCCCTTTCCCAGTCCCCCCCTTTCGCCCGACCCGAGCAGTGCAGGGAGAGGGGGGGGCAGGACGGAAGAAACGGCCGAAAGGAGGCGGGGAGAGGAGCGATGCACACACAGACAGGACCAGCGCACGTCCTGAAAACCTCTCGTCGGCGGGCGGGGTGCGGGCCGCCCGCGCCCCGGCCGGCCTTCGAGGGCGTCCTGCTCGGCGTGCTTCTTGTGCTTCTTTTTTTTCTTCTTCTCGGCGTCGCCGGGCGGCTCACCTGCTTCCCAGGGCCCCCCCCCCTCGCGTCGTGGAGCCGACGACGACACCTTTCAAATCGGAGCGTTATTCTTCGATTTCGGCCCCCGGGGAGCGTGATCGGGCCCAGCGGCAATATCAAAGATATCTGGGGCGAAGAACTGGCCCTGGAAAGGGGCTCGGAACCGTTGGGGCCGCGCATTGGGTGTCTTTTGTCAGTCTTCGGCCTCTGGGGGCTTGCCTGGCTCCGGGGCTATCAGAAAACGGGCCGGGATAGAAAGCGGTTCCAAATAATGGGTCGAGACCGCCCAGGGTCTGTTTCTCATCTTCGCCTGCCAGCTCACCTGCTTGGAGGAGGTTTCTACTTCCCAGTGCCGAGGGGGGCTCGTGGTGTACACCAGCGTCTCTGGTAGGCCCAGGAGCTCGGTGCATGAACGCCTGGGGCTGCTGGAACTTCGATGCGCCGACTCGTCAGCTGGGCTTCGCTGGGCGGCTCACCTGCTTGGACAAGAACGCCAGAAAACGGCATAAACTTTTTTTTGTATCCACGCGCCCCAGCCAGGCTCTTCCTTGCTTGCCATGCCTTCAAGCTGCGGCGGACAGGAGCTTGGCTCTTCATCTTGACCATCGTTCGAGTACGCTGGCCTCGGCCATGCCGCTATTCGACGACGACCTCCCCACTGCCCCTCCTCCTGCTCCTCCTCCTGCCGTCTTAAACGGGCCGCGGGCGCGAACGCGAAGCGCCAGTCGGCCGATCGGCGACTGGCCCGCCCCCCCCCCGCGCCCGCGTGAGGCACCAGGCGCGGAGGGCAGCAACAAGAGCAACATGCCGTGGTCCGCGGCGACGACGCCCACGGAGAGGTCAGGGAACAAAAGAGCGATGGTGATCAACGAGGGCCATGCTGGACAGGCTGGTGAGGTAGAACGGCAAGTGGCACAGGCCGCACGCGAACCCCAAATCCCCCACGCCAATTTTTCTCACATGCCGTCGACCTCCAAAGGTCTCGGCCCAATCCCCGGGACCGGCTTTTCTTCCTGAACCGCCTCTTGACGGCCCCGAAGCCCGGCAAGGGCCCCCGTCGGCTGCAAAGAACGAAAAGCCGCCCGTCGTGAGCTGTTCATGACTCGAAGGGGGCTTGGGATTGGACGAGCTGCCGCGCCCAAGCGTGCTCCTCCTCCTTCTCCTGCCCCTCCAACACGTTGCCGCTGCTCAACAAGGTGGTCGTCCACCTTCTTCTCCTCCTCCCCACGCTCATCCCTCGTCCTCCTCCTCCTCCTCCTCCTTCCCCGTCGGCGTCGTCGTCGCCGTCGTCGTCGTCGTCCTCCTCCTCCTCCTCCTCCTCCTCCTCCTCCTCGATCTGCTCCTCCTGCTCCTCCTCCTCCTCCTCCTCCTTCTCCTCCTCCTCCTCCTCCTCCTCCTCCTCCTCCTCCGCTTCCTCCTCCTCCTCCTCCTCCTCCTCCTCCTCCTCCTCCTCCCCAGACCGCCTCCGCCCTCGCCGCAACAGCGCAGGTGCCACCGCCCTCCTCCTGCTCCTCCTCCCGCCCCCCGGCGCGCCTCCGGGCAGCTCCGGCGACGCGGCGCCTCCCGAGGCCGCGGCGGGCGGCGGCGCCTCTGGCCGCGGCGGGGGGGGGGGCGCCAAAGGAGGCGCCGCCCGGGGTAGGCCCGGAGCGCCAACCCGCGCGATCCGCGCGTGAAGACCCGAGAGTGTCGAGGCTCTAGTGGGGGGGGGGGGGAAGGAGGAGGAGGAGAGGAGGAGGAGAGAGGGGAGGAGGAGGAGGAGGAGGAGGAAGGAGGAGGAGACAGAGGAGGAGGAGGAGGAGGAGAGGAGGAGAGGAGGAGGAGGAGGGAGGAGGAGGAGGAAGGCGGAGAGGATAGAGGTAGAAGGAAGGAGGAAGGAGAAGGAGGAGGAGGGAGGAGAAGGAGGAGCGGAGGGTAGGAGGGGGCGAGGATCGCAGAGTGTGTGGGACGCCCGGGAAATGGGTACGGCAAGACTGGGGCACCGTGCCCAAAAGCAAATGTATGCCCAAACAAGCAGCAGACCGCCGTTGGCAGGCGGCCTTCTGTCTCGAAATGGACACAGGCCCGCGGCCGGCCGGCGTTGGACTACAGTGCCATGGTGTGGCCCTCTGGCCGGCGTTCTCCTCGGTGCGGCGTGGACAACGAATCCTGTTCAAGATGAACAGGAACTGCTGTTGGGACCCGTTCTTTCCGTACCCATTTCGGGCGTCCAGACAGTGGAACGGAGATCCCCTTACCCGGAAACCGTTTCGTTTCGGTTCGTGTCGTGCGTGCGGGCGGGGCGAAGCTGCGTGGGCGCGCGGGAGGGCTGAACTCGCCGTTGCTAGGGCGAAGTCGAGACAAATGATTCTCCCCCGCCCGCCCGCCCGCCCAGCGGTGGCTCGCGGTGGCCGATGGAGGGCGCCAGAGGCGCCGCCGGGCAGGCCCGAGCGCCAATCCAAGAAATCTGAGCGGAACTCCGAAAGTGTAGGGGTTTAAGCCGCTTCCCTTCTCCGTGAGGGCAAGCGACGTCCTCCCGAGGAGGGTCGATGCACGAGCTGCGTTTCTCCCTGCCGATCCGCCACGCGTGGGTCTCCCCCCCCCACGTGCGCACGCTCCAGGGTGCGAGGCAGAGAGCGAAACGGGAGCGGGCGGCGCGCACCAGCGGCTAGACGCAGGGGAGGGGGGAGGGCTTCTCAGAAGGCTCGGGGACCTCCGAGCCTTCTGACAAGGCCCGCCCCTTCTCCCTTCCCCCCCGGGCTCGCCGCCGAGAAACGTCCGAAGAAGACGTCCGAAGACATCCGGCCGGGTAGACGTAGGGGAGGCGGGAGGGCTTCTCGGAAGGAGGCTGCTCCTTCGAAGGCGCGGGCCCGGCACCTGCAGACGTTTTTTTTTTTTTTTTTTTTTTTTTTTTTTTTTTTTTTTTTTTTTTTTTTTTTTTTTTTTTTTTTTTTTTTTTTTTTTTTTTTTTTTTTTTTCTCTCTTTTTTTTTTTTGTTTTTTTTTTTGTTGTTGTTGTTTTTTAGTGCTTTTTTTCGTTGTGTGTTTTGTGTGTGTGCTTGTGTTTGTTTGTTGTTTGGTGTTTGTGTTTGTTGTTTTGTTTTTTTGTGTGTTGTTTGTTGTTTTGTTTTTTTATGCTGTTTTCCTTGTTGCCTTCTCTCGCGGCAGGCGGTCTCGCCCGGCTGCGGGCCCCAGGATCCCTCCCTCCCCACGGATCGACCTGGCTCGAAAAGCGGACGCAGCCAGAGGGGATCTGGGGCTGCGTCTATGTTTTTTTTGTGATGCTGCAGTGTTTGCAGCGTCGGGTCGGGCGAAAGGGGGGGATAGCAAAGGGGGGGTTTGAGAATCAGCTCACGTAGCTGATTTTCCCGGCGCCTCCCGGCGCCGGAGGCGGCCATGGATCGAGGAATGGGCGCCTCGGTGAGGCCGAAACCAGCTGCATGCAGCAAATTTCGTAACCCCCCCTTTCCCAATCCCCCTTTCGGCCCGACCCGAGCAGCGTCGGGTCCGAGGGCGGCCCCTCGGACCAGATCCGGAGATACCTGGATGCCGCCGGAGCCCTCCGTGTAGCTTTGGGTCGGGCATGTCCTCCTGCAGGCGGATTCTGGACGAAGGATCAAGAGTCGCCCAAACAGAGTCAGAAATTGCCGAATAATAATCGGAACATCATTCCCTGCCTAGGCTCTGCCTAGAAGGGTTCTTACTCTCTTGGCTTAAAGGGCCGGGCAATGGGAACCGGCCCGAGCGGTTCCCCCAGTATCCGCCCCGCGGTTCCCCCAGTTACGTCCCCTTAGCTTAGCGTTGCTTATCTCATCTTAGCTTAGCTTATTTCATCTTAGCTTAGCTTAGCTTAGCTTCATCTTAGCTCAGGTTTATCCTAGCTTAGCTTACCTTCATCTTAGCTTCGCTGAGCTTTAGCATAGCAGGGCAGAACATAGCATAGCGTAGCATAGCGCAGCATAGCATATCATAGCATAGCCCAGCATAGCATAGCGCAGCATAGCATATCATATCATAGCGCAGCACAGCACAGCACAACATGGCACAGCACAGCACAGCGCAGCATAGCACAGCGCGGATCTGTGGGTGTATTTTGTGGCGCTCGTGTGTGCCAACCGCGTTGCCAGTTTCGTTTTCTGTTCGGGTAATTAGCATGGGTGTAATTCCCTACCTAGGCTCTGTCTAGAGGGTTAGGTTAGCTCAGCTTAGCTTAGCATAGCGCAGCGCTGCAGTATCATAACATGTCATATCATAACATAGCCAAGCGTAGCATAGCATAACATAGCATAGCGCAGCATATTATAGCATAGCATAGCATAACATAGCGTATCATATCATAGCGCAGCTTAACATAGCACATCATATCATAACACAGCGCAGCATGACATACTATAGCTTACCATAGCATCGCATAGCATAGCATTGCGCACCATATCATATCATAACATAGCATACCATAGCGCAACATAGCATGGCATATCATATCATAGCATAGCAACTAATGCTGCTTTCCTAGGGGCTCCAACTTCTAGGTAGGGTCGCACTGGGGTAATTTTCATATGTTATTTGAACTTAGTTTGAAGAATAACAGCATCTATTATATACATGTATTCATGGCACCTTTTCACAACACAAAAAAAAGCTAGCATTAGAAGCCATACGACTATTTTTGAAGGTTCCTCCTGTGGAGGGACAGGCCCGGCTTCAACTGCAGCCGGCAGCACCGGCGCACCGCCCGCGAGGGGCGGGCCGCCCGCGCGGCGCCTGCGGCGCGGCCAGGTCGGCGGGCATCGGCGGCGGCAGGTGCCTCTCCAAGGGCGGGCGCCCGGCCGGCCGGCCCCCCCCCCGAGGGCCCCCCCCAGAGAGCCGAGGCTCCTCCTCCTCCTCGCTCCTCCTCGCTCCTCCTCCTCCTTCCTCCTCATCCTCTCCTCCTCCTCCTCCTCCTCCTCCTCCCGCGCATCCTCGCTCCCTCCTCTCCTCCTCCTCCTCCTTCCTCCTCCTCCTCCTCCTCCTCCTCCTCCTCCTCCTCCTTCTCCTCCTCCCCCCCTCCGACGCCGAGGAGCGGAGGTCTCACAGAACGAGCCCTTGGGTGAGGCCGTTTCGGGGACCACGAATGGCCCCTGGAAGCCCCCTTTTGGGCCCCGAACCCAGAGATCCCACGCACTGACAAAATCAAGGCGGAGGTTTTCCGCAACTACTTCGGCCTTTAGGGGCCCTCGCCGGGCCCCGGGATTGTCAAACAGCGAGCGGCTCAGGATGTCCTGGGGAATGGGTCGAGACTTCCAGGGACCGCGTACTGAACAAATCACGACATCGGTCCCCGGAAGCCTCGACCCATTCCCCGGATGTAGTGAAGGGCATGAACAACAGCATCTGGAAATAATGAACGATACCTTCGGCCGCCTACGGGTAATGACATCCTCATCCCTCCCGCCGCCGCGGGGATCACCGCCACCGAGAACTCATCTGGAGGGGGGCCGATCCCCGGGCGGAGGCACGCCCGAGCGTCGTTCTGTCCTGGGTGGCTCTCGGGTGCGCCATCGCCCAGACCCCCCCGATGGGTTCTCGGTGGTAGCGGTCCCCGTGGCCTCTGGCGCGCGACTTGCCAAGCGCTGTCTGCGGTGCGGCACTACCGGCCGCGTGCTCGTTTTGGACTCCCCCGCACCAGCCCGAGAGCCGTGCACCAAAGAGGCCACTGCGGCGAAGGGTCGCTCCCTCGCGTGGCCGCTCCAGGCTGCCGCGTCCGCGCGAATCCGAAGGGCCTCCCTGCGCCAGGCCGTGGCCTCGCGCGGAGGTTGCAACAGCTCGTTGGCCGCCCACTTCGCCCACCGATCGGCCTCGGCGTTTCCCGAAGCATGCCGCCATTCGTCTGTGTGGGGCTCTAAATCGGAGAGCTTCTGATGCGACTTGACTTTAATCAAGTCGATGTCCCTCTAAATCGGAGAGCTTCTGATGCGACTTGACTTTAATCAAGTCGATGTCCCGACTCCAGCCTGCACAACCTTTAATGAGCAACTTGAGGCCATAATAAAAGCCTTTAGGGGACAGACCTGGGGCGTGCAACTTGCATTTGCCAGTGTAGTCGGCAAGCAAGGCCGAGATGTTACTTCCGAATTTGACCGCGGCGTATGCAGCTAAGAATTCGTCCGCGGGTGAGGTCCGAGGCAAAGCTCTACCAACAGGGCCCGCTAACGCAGCTATGGCTTCCCCCGTGGCAGGGTCAATGACTACAACAAACCCATCCCGCTCGATGATAACACTTAGGACCTACTTTAAAGCACGATCCGTCTAGGCACAAGTTGCCCTGCAGGGCTTGGGCTAGAATGGTGTTCGGGTCCGACGCCCACAAGGTCGCATTCTCGAGACCAAGCCCTGCTGGGGCATTGACGTCAAACTTAACCTTGACGAGGAGGGGGGGGAGGAGGAGGAGGAGGAGGAGGAGGAGGAGGAGGAGGAGGAGGAGGAGGAGGAGGAGGAGGAGGAGTGGGAGGGGGAGGAGGAGGAGGAGGAGGAGGAGGAGGAGGAGGAGGAGGAGGAGGAGGAGGAGGAGGAGGAGGAGGAGGAGGAGGAGGAGGGGGAGGAGGAATGGAGGTAAGAGGAGGAGGAGGAGGAGGGGGAGGAGGAGGAGTAAGAGGAGGAGTGAGGAGGAGGAAGAGGGGGAGGAGGAGGAGGAGGAGGAGGAGGAGGAGGAGGAGGAGGAGGAGGAGGAGGAGGAGGAGGGGGAAGATGAGGAGGAGGACTCTGCTGGACCCTGCTGAGGAGAAAACGCGTGCGACCACACATCAGGGCGGGCGGTCACTGGGGTGGCGCCTGCTGCCACTTTCGCCACCTCCAGCCCGCCCGCCCTGCCGTCTCCTTTCGCCGCCGTCCGCCGCCGCTGTCGCCCAGAGGCCGCCGAAGCAGCAGCAGCCTCACTTCCCTCGGGTGGGGCGGGGCACTGCAGGGGGCGGTCCTCATCCAGCGGCATGGCGGCCGCCAGCTCACGAGCGGACCGCACCGAAGAGATCGCACCATATGTACTCATTCATTGCTGGCCTCCCAGACTCATCCCCGCAGAGCACAGTTCCTTCCTGCGCGGGCGGGTGGGAGGAGGCCTCAAACGTGTCAAGGGCCACGGCCGTCGCCAAAGCAGCGGGTGGGCCACGATAAGACGGGAACAGGCCTCTACGAATTCTCCTGAGATGTCCCCCCGCCCCTTGCGAGTGGGGGGTTGCACGGGAGGAGGAGGAGGAGGAGGAGGAGGAGGAGGAGGAGGAGGAGGAGGAGGAGGAGGCGGGAGGAGGAGGAGGAGGAGGAGGAGGAGGAGGTAGGCAGGAGGAGGAGGAGGTCGGACGGGGCTAGGACGAACAGATCAAGAAGGGAGGGCGGGCAGATAAGGAGCAAGCTGCCAACAAAGAGCTCAACCACAGACCAGTCTCAGGAGGACCCCCCAAAACACGGCACCTGCGAGGGAGGCGTGCGGAGAGGAGACACTGGACGACGTGCCAAGAAAGACATGGATCTCTGTGCAATCGTCTGCGGGCACCTGGTACAGCCGTGTCGCTGCAATCCACACGAATGAATGCCAGCTGTATGTCGGACCCAGATGGTATGGTGGCGTGTTGGTGCCCTCGGTGACGTGCGGCTGCTGCAAACGGCATCGGCTTTCTCAGAGCCACCTTGGCGATGAAAAGAAACGGGTCTTGCGCGAGATGACATAGCGACATGAAGCCGCGGCTTGCGCGGTCCGCGAGCACAGCACGCCCTACTGGGAACGAGGGCGCTTACGCGCAACTTTGCGCGGGCAGCTTGCGCGCCAATGTCGGTGAAGACGGCCCCGTTTTCCTGCGTGGCTCACCTGGACCCTCCCGAAGTCTATGATGAGGCCAACTGATTTTTGTTGGTGCACTCGCCCGACCGGGTGGAGGGCGGCTGCTGGACGGCGGGCAGGAGAGCGGCGCGCATCCCCGGCGCCTGCAGGTGCCCGTGGCCTTGAACTCCTCTCGCAGCGCTGTTTTGTTATCTTTAGTCTTGCGCTCCGAGGCGACTGCGAGGGCGATAACGCGCACGTGAACGCACCTCTCCACTGATCTTCTGATATACGCGCGATCACATGCGCACGCAATGCCGACATGCACGCACGAGGCTGACGGCAAGCTGCGCGGCCCCCGTGCTCGATCACACAAGGTATGGGTCGAAAGAAACACACGTATGCACTCCCTGCATACCTTTCGCCCCTCTCCACTCCCATCCCCTGGAAAGGATGGGGAGGGGCGAAGAGGACAAAAGAAAACAGGTAACCCGCACCGTCGGCTGGCCCTAACACGGCTGCAGCTATGATTACGCCCACGGGAACCCTGACAACGATCGTGACCAGGAGGTCATGACGCGATCGCCGGCCCCGGTTGTGACAACGACTGCCCCGCGACCGTGACTAATCCCCACGACCTCGACCGTCACCGCAACGACCACGACCGAGCTCTCCCTGCTCTACCCACCCGCCCAATCGCGGCGGCGAGACCCCCACTCGCGAATACGACGGCGACCGCGACCACGGCCCCACTCCTGGGCACCTGGCGATTTTTTTAAATTATGCAACGCCCCAGAGGTCCCGACCCCTTCCCAGGCCCCCTCGGGCGGTGACAAAAATCACGACACCAGGTCTTCAGCTATTTTCGGCCCCCGGGGGCCCTCGCCAGGCTCCTTCCGCTTGCGAGGTGGGAGCGCGTTCCGATCCCAGTGTTTGAAGCTGTGCCCCAATTGATTCTCGTGGCTCCAACGCTCGACCAGGATAATAAGGATGCGCGGCAAGGATGCAAAGGCCTTGGAACGCAATGTTGACGTTTTCCGTGCGGAGCGCAGCAGAATACCGAAAGATGCCGAATATCGAAGGGGCGAGGATGCCCCATCCTTACTATCATGGTTGACTGTGCTCCTGCTCGTACTCCTATTCGGATCCTTACTGGCTGCTCTGCCACCCAGCCGGCCTCGCGCCCCTCGGAAGCTTCGCCGCTCCCGCCCCAGCGCGGCCCGCGCAGCCTGCTCCCTCCGCTCCAACGCGACGCATGTTTTTCCGCACGCAACGTCGTCGACCCGCGAGCGGTCGAACATGCCGTTCTCGCCTCGGCGCCGCGCAAGTGTCGCTTGCAAGTGGCGCTCCCGCCTCGACGCGGCACATATTCTTCCACTCGCCAGCTTTTCGGGGCCCCTCCTCCTCCTCCTTTTCCTTTTCCTCCTCCTCCTCCTCCTCCTCCTCCTCCTCCTCCTCCTCCTCCTCCCCCTCCGCCTCCTCCTCCTCCTCCTCCTCCTGCTCCTCCTCCTCCCCTCTCCTCGTCCTCCTCCTCCTCCTCTCATCCTCCTCGTCCTAGTCGCTCGTCCTCCTCACTCCTCCTCCTCCTTCCTCCTCCTCCTCCTCCCCTCCCCTCCCCGTCCTCTCCCTCCTCCTCCTCCTCCTCCCTCCTCCTCCTCCCATCTCCTCCTCCTCCCCCTCCTCCTCCTCCCTCCTCCTCATCCTTCCTCCTCCTCATCCCCTCCTCCCTCATCTCCCCCTCATCCTCCTCCCTCCTCCTCCTCCCTCCTTCTCCTCCCTCTCCTCCTCCTCTCCTCCTCCTCTCCTCTCCCCTCCTCCCTCTCCCCTCCTCCTCTCCTCCTCATCCATCCTCCTCCTTCTCCTCCTCCTCCTCCTCCCTTCCTCCTCCCCCTTCCCCTCTCTCCCCTCCCCCCATCCTCCTCCCCTCCTCCTCCTCCCATCCTCCCTCCTCCTTCCTCCTCCTCCGTCACCCCTTCCATCCTCCCTACTCCTTCCTGCCTCCTCCTCCTCATCCCTACTACCCCCCTCCTCATCCTCCTCCCCCTCCTCCTTTCTCCTCCTCCCTCCTCCTCCTCCTCCTCCTCCTTCTCCTCCCCCTGCCCTCCAACTCCTCGTCCTCCCCCTCCCCCTCCTTTACCTCCTCCTTGTGCGCCGTTCCAGCGCGGGCGCGGCGCAGGGTTCGTTCGCCGAGCCGCTTGCGAGCGACGGCGGCAGCGGGGCCGCGCGAGAGCGGGCGACAGGTGGACCTCGCCCAGGCACCGCGCAGCTCGTGAGCACATTGAGGGCATCGGATGGGGAACCATTGGATAAGGAATCCAGGGCCTGGAAGCTGGCGGAAGTCCAAGCAGGCGCTGGCCACGAATCTCACCGCCGCCCTCATCCGATCAGCAGGGTCTGAAGCCTCCTGGGCACGTTCCTTAACGAACGCCCTCAGCGTAAAAGCAGCTGTGCTGTGTCAACGCGGCGCAAGCTTCGTCTCCGCCGCGCCCCTCGGAAATGTTGTCGCGTTGCCGCTCCTGCGTGGCCCGCGCAATTTTCTCTTCGCTGAGTCGTGTCGTCGGAAGCGGGGTGTCTCGCGCGAGCGCCTTGCGTTTGCGAGGTGGGAGTACGCTCCAGTTCCAGAAGCAAGGTGGTGCCCCAATGGATTCCTTTTTTATGTTGTGTGAGGGAGGGGGGGGGCGGCCCTCTGACTCGCTCGACCTGGCTAATTTGACTCCTGCTCCTGCTCTTACGCTGATCTACTCCTTCCCTCGTTTATCATATTCAATTCTACTCTATTCTACTCTGCGCTGCTTTACTATGCTCCGGCCTGCTTTACCCTACTCATGTACAATTCTCTGCTCGACTCTACTCGACTCTGCCCTCATCTTTTCTGGGTTTGACGATTGTTGGGACGCCATTGGAGTGACTGGCCACGGGAAGCAATTCGGAATTGCAGAGGAAGCCATGCGGATAGCAGAGACAACTATGCGGATAGCAGAGGAAGCCATGCGGATAGCCGAGGAAACCATGCGGATAGCCGAGGAAACCATGCGGATAGTGGAGGAAACCATGCGGATAGCAGGGGAAGCCATGCGGATAGCAGAAGACGCCATGCGAATAGTTTGACGATGCAAGAGCCACACAAAGGGGGGGACCAATGGACTAAGTCTCTAGGTATGGAGCTGGGGCTCCCAGAGGGAAGCCTGCTTGGATAACGATGCCAACATGCAATCCTGGAACCCAGGGCGAGGTGCGCGGCTCCCAAACAACCTAGCCTGAGAACATCAAGATCAACACGAACACGCGCCTGCGCCCGCTGCCTTTCGGCCCGCCCCTCCCGCGAATAGGAGCGCAGGCGGTAGAGAGGCAGGAGGAGGAGGAGGGGGGGAGAAAGAGGAGGAGGAGGAGGAGGAGGAAGCGGAGGGAGGCGGAGGAGGAGGAGGAGGAGAGAGGAGGAGGAGGAGGAGGAGGAGGAGGAGGAGGAGGAGGAAGAGAGAAACAGGAGGATGAGGAGGAGGAGGAGGAGAGAGGAGGAGGGAAACGAGAGAAAAAGGAAGGAGGAGGAGGAGGAGGAGGAGTGAGGAGGAGGAGGAGGGAGGAGGAGGAGGAGGAGGGACGAGGACGAACGAGAAGGAGGAGGAGGACAGGAGGGAAGAAGGACGAGGAGGGGGACGAGAGGAGGTGGAGGAGCCGCGGAGAAGAGGGGGAGGGGAATGGGGGAGGAGGAGGAGGAGGAGGAGGAGGAGGAGGAGGAGGAGAGGAGAAGGAGGAGGAGGAGGAGGAGGAGAAGGAGGCAGGAGGAGGAGGAGGAGGGGAGGAGGGGGAGGGAGGAGGAGGAGGAGGGGGAGGAGAGGACGAGGAGGAGGAGAAGGAGGAGGGGGCGGCGGAGGAGGGAGGAGGAGGACGAGGACTAGGACTAGGACGAGGAGGAGGAGGAGGAAAGGAGGAGGAGGAGGAGGGGAGAGGAGGAGGATGAGGAGGGGAGGAGGGAGGAGGAGGGCAGGAGGAGGACGGGGAGGAGGAGGAGGAGGAGCGGGGGAGGGGAGGAAGAGAAGAGGAGGAGGAGGAGGTGGAGGAGGAGGAGGTGGAGGAGGAGGAGGAGGAGGAGGAGGAGGAGGAGGAGGAGGAGGAGGATTAGGACGAGGATTAGGACGAGCAGGAGGAGGAGGCCTCGGCGAGCGAAGGAAGCTAGGCCACCAGACTTCGCGCCTCGTCGCGCCTCGCGAGATGTTCGCCTGCCTTCGCGCAACCTCGCGCCGCCTCCCGGCGAGAGAAAGGCAGCTCCACGGCCCCATGCCCCGCGACGGGCGACGCGTCCGGCTGCGTCTCTGCAGCCCCGCGATAGCGACCCCGGAGGCGAAGCGCCGCACCTCATGTGCGGCGCGCAAGACGGGGTACGGGGAAGGGGGGGCGGCTTTGTAGAAGCACCCTACTTTTTCGAAGCCTCCGGCCTTACGTCTATAGAGAAGGCCAGCGCCTTCTAAGGAGCAAGGGTGTTTCTAAGAAGCCTTCCCCCCTCCCCCTACCCCCTTCTGCGCGTGGCCGACCTCTCCTGCCCCGAGCTGAGCCGCACAGGCGAACACACCGACGGCAGCACACTGACCACAGGCTGCGGGATATCCTGGAGGACCGCCGCCGCCCGATGCTGACGGCAGCGGCCTCTCCACTATCGGGCACACCCTCTTCCCTCTCCTCGCTCCTCGCTCCTCGCTTCTCCTCCTCCTCGTCCTCCTCCTCCTCCTCCTCCTCGTCCCTCGTCCTCCTCTTTGCTCCTCCTTCTCCTGCTGGCTCCCTCTGCTTGCTCCTTGTCCTCCTCCTCCTCCTCCTCCTCCTCCTCCTCCTCCTCCTCCCCTCCTACTGCCTCTTACCTCCTCCTCCGCCTGTTTTTCCTCCTTTTCTTATTCTTCCCCGTGCCCCTCCTCCTCTGCGCTCCTCCTCCTCCTCCTTCTTTGGACACCCGAATTATCCGGCACAACTCAGGTCTGGGGTGACTCTGGTTTGAGCCCCCGGCGAACGACTCAAATATTACCCCTGACCGCCCCCAGCCCCGATGATTCGGAAGTGATTGGGCGCCGGAATTATCCTGGATATCTCCGGTCTGGGGCAACTCCTGCTTGTGCCCCCGAGGCACGAATCGGGAGTTGCCCCTGATAACCCCCAGCTCTGGTGGTTCGGGGCTCCTCCTCCTCCTCCTCGCTCCTCCTCCTCGCTCCTCGCTCCTCGCTCCTCGCTCTTCGCTCTTCGCTCCTCCTCCTCCTCCTCCTCCTCCTCCTCCTCCTCCTCCTTATCGCTCCTCTCTGAGATGTGCTCCCTGGCAGGCCCCTCCCTGGCAGGTCCTTGCAGCTGCACGTGGGCCCGGCGGGCGCCGGAGCGGCCGCTGGCGGCTGCGCCAGTGGCTGCGGCGGCGGCTGCGCCAGCGCGGGCGACGAGGAGAAGCTCGGCCCGTCGTCCTGCTTCTTTCGACGGGTCCAATCCAATCCAATCCAATCCAATCCAATCCTCCTCCCTCGCCCCTCGCCCCTCGACCCTCCCTGCTGGCCCCTCCCTCCTCCAGTCCTTGTCCTTTCCTGATAACTCCTCCCTGTCGCGCCCCGAGGCCGGTCGAAAGGGCGGGCTGGTCGTTTCGCCTGAGACTTCCTTTCCTCACCATTTGTGACCCTGATGCAAAAAAACTGACAACAGTTTCGCAGATGGAGGGCGGGTGGTTTTCAACATGTGGCTCTCGCCTCAGCGCCGCGCACATTCGTTTCCAAATCTTGTAAGGGTTTCACGGATTGAGGTCGTGTGGTTTTCAAAATGTGGCTCTCGCCGTAGCGCCGCGCATATTCGTTTTAGAACAATGGAAGAGTTTCAAGGATTGAGGGCGGGTGGTTTTCAAAATGTGGCTCTCGCCTTATCGCCGCGCACGCTCGTTCAAAACATGTGCAAAGGTTTCAAGGATTGACGGCGGGTGGTTTCACCATGTTGCTCTCGCCGTAGCGCCGCGCACATTCGTTTTAAGACTGTGTAAGAATTTCAAAGATTGAGGGCGGTCCGTTTTCAAAATGTGGCTCTCGCCTTAGCGCCGCGCGCGTTCGTGTAAACCATTTGCAAGAGTTTCGCAGATGGAGGGCGGGTGGTTTTCAAAATGTGGCTCTCGCCTTAGCGCCGCGCACATTCCTTTTAAGAATTTGCAACAATTTTACGGATCGAGGGCGAGTCATTTTCAACATGTGGCTCTCGAGCTATCGCCGCGTACATGATTTAAGCATGTGCAAGGATTTCACGGATTGAAGCCGCTTCTTTTTCGAAATGCGGTTCTCGTCAAAGCGCCGCGCACATTCGATCAACATTGTCGCACGAGTTTCGCGGATTGAGGGCGGTTCGTTGTCAAAAGGTTGCTCTCGCCTTAGCGCCGCGCACACCCGTTCTAAACACATGCAAGAGTTTCACGGATTGAGGGCGGCTCATTTTTTACATGTGGCTCTCGCCTTAGCGCCGCGCATATTTTTCCTAAACGTGTGCGAGAAGTTGATGGCTTCCCATGGTTAACGAGCCAGAGATTGTGAATCGCCACGACGTGGCAGTGAGGTAAACCTGCGGCGTTTAAGTCATGATAATGGTGTTTGGCACGCTTCAAGATGTTCGCACGGTTGTCCCGAATCGGGCAATTCCCACAATGGAAATTACTTTTTAAGAAGGATCTGGGAGGGAGGGTGCATTCCAACATCGATGATTAGTCTTTGGTTTGAACTGGTCCTCCTTCTCCTCCTCCTCCTCGTTTATCTTCCTGCCTCCCTCCTCCCTCTTCCCTCTCCCCTCCTTCCTCGCTCCTCCCTCCTCCCTCTTCCCTGCTCCTCCTTCTCCCGTCCTCGTCCTCCTCCTTCTCCTCCTCCTCCCCGCGTGCGCTCACACGCGCGAGGGAGCGCGGAGCAGGGGGATGAGAAGCGAGGAGTAGGAGGAGGTGGTGGAGGAGGAGGAGATCGAAGAGGAGGATGATGACGATGATGATGATGATGATGATGATGATGATGATGATGATGCTGATGATGATGATGATGAGGAGGAGGAGGAGGAGATGAAGATGGAGATGGAGGAGGAGGAGGAGGAGGAGGAGAAAGAGGAGGAAGAGGAGGAGCGAGCAGGAGGAGGAGGAGGAGGAGGAGGAGGAGGAGGAGGAGGAGGAGGAGGAGGAGGGACGAGGTGGAGCAGGAGGAGGAGGATGAGGAGGAGATGAGGATGGGGAGGGGGGAGGAGGAGGAGAGGAGGAGGAGAAGGAGGAGGAGGAGGAGGCGGAGGAGGAGGAGGGGAGGAGGGGTGGAGGAGGAGGAGGAGGAGATCGAAGAGGAGGATGAGGAGGAGGAGGAGGAGGATGAGGAGGAGGAGGAGATGGAGATGGAGGAGGAGGAGGAGGAGGAGGAGGATGAGGAGGAGGAGGAGTTGGCTCCACCAAGGCTGAGCGGCGCGCCCTTGTTGCAACCGCGTTGAATCTGTGTAGAGGTTTGGGACGTCGGTATCTGAATCTGAGTTCAGGCTGAGGCCCTGAGGAAGGCAGATCAGCCACCAAACAACGCCTCGCCGAAGCCCACCGATGTGTGTGTGTGTGTGTGTGCTCCTCACCTCTTGCGTAAGCCCCTGTAGCAGGTCTACCGTTGGGGGCCAGGCGCCAGCAGCTAGCTAGGCGTCGTGGAGTAGCCGTCGTGGGCATGCCCGGCGCATGCGTGCACAGCTGGGGCAGCGGGGAGCGGACACTGGAGCAGCCTTGTTCGGGCCCTGTCGGGGGCCTCTGCCGCAGATTCCAGCTTCTGCTGGACGAGGATTGCGCATTCTTTTCCTCTGCCTGGCTCTGGAGCGTGTCGGATAACTTCTAGATTCGAACCCCGGCGGCTACGGACGGCGCAGAAAGCACACCTGCATGCCTGCCTGCAGCACATCATGCGGCAATGTGTTCGCAGTGACGCGCTGCACGGCGCGGCAACGGCGCTCCGGACAAGTGGGATCACACTTGCCCGGCGAGGCTCGACCAAGCGCACGCTAGGCCAACGCTCTGCCCTCGCAGGGGCGGGCGAGGGCATCCTTCGAGCCCCGGGCGCCCGAGCCCCAGGTGCACCCCGACCTCGCGCCCCGAAGATCATTCTCGTCAGGGACTGCTGGGCGGTCCTGTGCCCCGCTGGGGCTGCGGTCAGCACCCTGCGAAAGCTCGAGCGGGACGCTGTTTCCTGGGATAACTGGGCCACGGCCGAGGACGCTGTTGTGGGTGTCAGCGGTGCCAGGCCCAGGACTCCCCAGACCCTGGCCGATGATGGCACCACGAGGCCTTCGCTCCAGTGCGCCGGCCGATGTGACAACGTGCAGCGGGAGCCCGTCGTGGCGTCGCCGTGGACAGAGTTGGCTATAGGCCTCGTATTGGGATCAATCTCTTGATAGCACCTGTCTCCAGAAGCCTCTGGACTTGGTCCGACGTTCACCCGAAGAAGGTCGTGATCGCCGATCGACGCCACTGGTGCTTTCAGAATGATGGAACCCATCAGCATCACCATCATATTCGTAATCGTCACCATCACCATCATTCATCATAATATCTCGGTCTGTGATGGATCCGAGCTCGTGCAAGCCAACCGTGGTTGGTCAGAAGAGTTCGTAGTGCCTGGCCAGACATCCCATGGACCAGGGTCTTGCAGGGCTCTATTTTGATGCAGTTTCCCAACTCCCTCCAAGGAGCGATTGTCAAGTGCGCACGTCCTCCCGCTGGTGGCACTTGAGGCGGTGCAATATGCATTAGCCGCTGGGTCGGCTTGACGAGGACATTCGACGGCTATTGAGAGCAA